CACACCGCATGTACACACACCACGCACATCACACACACATCACACATAATAATCCCTCAAGAAAAAAAACAATAGTAATTTGGTCACTTCAATCCACGACTGTTTGTGGGACACTGCTGTGTGCAATTGGCTGCTGCGTTTTGCCCACAAATATACAGTCAATTCACTTTACAGTCTCTGTCGCTTTCGTCGAGAAGACGTGAAAAGGCGCTATATCAAATACTATTATATATTATAATAAAACAAAAAATATTTCTCGGCATATGATCTAATGATATAACATGCCTCACTTCCAGTTATGGGCTGTTTGGCCCTTACATTGATTGTGTACGTCTAGAAATATACGGATTATCAATTAGACAGTGACAACTTTTCTTTAAGAAAATAGTCTTTTTCTTCCTCCCAAAGCTCCCGACTCCTGACACTCTTCGTGCCTCCCGTGGTCATTCTTCATATGTGCACCTAATCAGTCAGTGACTGCATGTTATCACAGCCAAGCCAGGCTCTTGTAACAGCAATCCATTTACCTGCCCTTTTCCTGCATCCCTTTAGTTTATTTCTGCTTTAAAGCATGTATCTACCCATTTGCTTTACCCATTTTTTGTGCTGTAATGTCATCCCGGTTCTCCTCTGACGTTCACACTCATGTGCACTTTCCAGGTCGCTGAATAGCGATGAAAAAACAACAACAACAATCAATATACATTTATCGCCTTTCGCATCGGGAGGACGTCCCAAAGCGCTGAACAGTCAGATGTCGGGGCCCGAGCATGGAGTGGGGGGGGGGGGTGTAGGGGTGAGGGAAGGCAGAGAGGTGGGAGGGAGACCAAAGGCACGGTCGAAGAGGAAGGTCTTGAGACTGACCTTGAAGGAGGCAAGGGAGGAAGAGATGCAATTGATGTTTCCCTTCCTCAGACCAGGGGCTCTATTGAGAAGTTTGTTTTGTTAAACTACAAGTCTCCTGGGTTGTCCTCCCGACATAAAATTACTATATAAATGTAATTTTTTTGAGATGTCTCAACGACGTGATACTATATCAAATGCAAAGATTATTATTATTGTATATCTTTGGTGGCATTGTTGGATTTCCAATTATTTCTGTGTCCACTACCAGATTAGTTTGACTAGATTTGTGTAAATATATATCTCAGTAACATTCCTAGAACCGATGTCAAGGGGTTTTGTAGCAACATTTGTTCAATTTTTATATTAAAAAAGGACAATGAACAATAGAGACTGGGTTTGGAGTGACACAAGGCTTTCTTATTAAGGATTCCTGCTAGAAACTGTTGCTTGATGCTAGAAGGTTGAAGGGTGATCTCACTGAGTTTTTTAAAATAATGAAGGGATTCGATAGGATAGATACAGAGAAACTATTTCCTCTGGTAGGCGGAATCCAGAATAAGGGGTCACAATCTTAAAATTAAAGCTGGGCCATTTAGGAGTGAAATCAAGAGGCAGTTTTTCACCCAAAAGGTGGTGGAAATCTGGAACTCTCCCGCCCCCTAAAGGCTGTGGATGTCCATTCAAATTTTCAAGACTAAGGTGGCTAGATATTTATTTGGTCAGTGTATCAAGGGATATGGGCCAAGGGCGAGTACACATCAGCCATGATCTTATAGAATGGTGGAAACAGGCCTGATGGACTGAATGGTCTCCTCCTGTTTCTATGCTTCACATTAGACCCCAATCTTCTATGAAGCAAAGAAATGCTTCGTTCTCAAGCAACTCACCTCATTCTGTTTGACCCTCAAACAATGAAAAAAAATTCGACCCTGTCTTGCGAAAAGCGCCCCATTAAAAAATAAACCTCAAAAGTCATAGAAAGCCTTTTCAATACAATTTTATTTTGTGTAATAGGACAAACTAATATTTTACATTCCAACCTTTGCTGCCAAAATCCAGCAGGAAAAAAACATTTTTTCCCTGTGGTGTAATTCCATGAGGGGAAAATAATTAGAAGCAGAATTACATTACCGTAGAGAAACAGGAGAAAATGTGTTTACTATCCAGTAATAGATGACTGCAGTTCACAAAAGGGATCACTCGAAACTCCCAACGATTAGAATGGCTGGTTTAAGGCTGAGGTCCCGGAAGCCACTAAGAGTCTTGCTAGTGGCAATTCACTGTGAATCTCCATGGCTGTTCCACCTGCACTGGACAAGGCGACCAAGGATGTTGATGTGGCAGGCTGGCTGAGGCTTCCTCGAAGAAACTGTCCTTGTTGGTTTCCAGTAGCAGTGTTGGGTTGGTTGACCGGGCTCACAGAGCTGTTACCTACTGCCCAGTGGCACGTATACTGGCTTTAAAAAAACACAAGTAGATTTCACCCAAAATATCCTGAAGAGATAAGATTGTGACTTATGAACCATGTCCAACAGGAGAGGGGAATAGAGGGGTGACTGGAGGCCGTCAATTTAAGATGGTTAGCAAACGAGCAATAGGGTAGATAAATGCTCAAAAAAGGAATGAACTACAAAGCTGTGGGGGAAAGGGCAGGTAAATGGGATTGAAAGGATTAGTTTTTAAAGAGCCAGCACAGACACAAGAATAATAATAATCTTGGCATTTGATATAGTGCCTTATCACATCTTCGAGAAGTCTCAAAGCGCTTCACAGACTATAATGTAAAGTGAATTGATTGTACATCTTGTGGGAGAAACGTGGTATGATGGGCTGAATATCCTTCTGTGATTCTATGGGTGGGATGGGGGTTTGTGTGGAGTACAAACACTAGCACAGAGTGGTAGAGCCAAGTGGCCTATTTCCATTCAACATCACTCTATGTAACTCTTGTGTCGCGCAATTTTCCAGTTGGCAAGGTGAAGCGGTCTCACTACAGCACCATCACCACTGCCGTTTACCCCTCACAATGCTAAGCCCGTTATTCATTAAGCGCATTCATTTTTGCCAGTGGCAATCAAATATTTTAACACCTCAAACATGGAAAAATTCCAGCTGACATTGAGGAAAGGAGCCATTCAGGCCTCTAGTTAAGTGCCACCTGGATGAAAGCACATAAAATATGTTCTAGTCTCCCCATTCCCATCCACCGCATTACCATTTAGACATGGCCGCAGTCCAAAACCAATAAGGCTTTTGACTCTAGCTTGTGACCAAGAAGAAATAATCTCAGTATTAAAAACAATCTTTGGCAGTGAAGTGTGGCTACTTTGTTTTTATCATCAACACCTTTTTGAAAAGGTTCAAAATTGAAGATAATGAATCCATCCACAGTGCTGCCAATTGCACATTTTATTGTGCCTCAACATGTCGAACCGTCTCAATGCACTGCACCTTGATTACTGTCAAGTGTAAATGTGGTGACTGTTTTTTTGAAGCAAATACAGCATCTATTTCCAACAAAAAGGTCTCACAAACAGTCCTAAGGTGAAGACTAATTAATCTGCAAGGGTTATTAAGGGTCAGAATCCTCTAGCGCATTGGTTAGAGCACTCGCTTCGCAAGTGAGAGGACCCGGATTCGATTCCCGGCAGAACGAAACATTAGGTGTTTCCTTACTCCACGCTCCTCTGTTTATCAAGCAGTAAGTAGGAACCTGGTTGTTGGCGGATAGTTTTCCGGGGGTAATAATCTCTTCATAAAAATAAATAAACAATAATTTAGTCACTCAAACCACAACTGTTTGTGGGACACTGCTGTGGGCAATTGGCTGCTACGTTTCGCCCAGAAAATATACAGTCAATTCACTTTACAGTATATTCTGTGAAGTGCTTTGAGTTGTCTCAATGATGTGATAAGGTGTCGTATCAAATACAAGAAATACTATCATTCCTCTTCATACATAGGCCGTGTGTAAGGAGATTGCAGTGGTATTTGGGATTACTCAGCATTTGGCTGCAATAATCAAAAGCCTTCGTTCATAAGCATCATATACAAAATAGTTTTTTTTAAGTCAGTCAGGTGTCTGACACATACATAATCCCAACACCGTGCTTAAGAGTCTCTAAGCCAGACTGAGAGTTCCACATTTGAGGTGCCACCTACATTTGGAGATTTCACTGCAACTAGAATTAAATCAGCTCTCTCTCCGTGGGGATGCACCCTGCTTACCTAATTCTGGAGAGCATTTGGTGCAGGTTGGTGTATATTACGGTGAAGTGTGTGTTGGGGTAACTGCTGAGATTCATCTTCAGGTTGTTGACTTATGTGACCTTACCCAGCACTAGACCCAGTTGCAGTTGGAGGTGTGACAGGTAACATGTTGGTGTGTCTTGCAGAAGTCATCGTTGACCAGTTGTCGTGTCCAGGTAAAACCTGAAGACCATTACTGGAGCTCTCTGCAAAAGAAACTAGTTGAAAACATAATACAGTATTGATCAGTAAAACATTTGTTCTTGAAAAAAAGAAATTTCCCTCTAATTTCTTTATTCTCAACAGCATGATAAGCTGCTATATATCAAATACAAGGATTATCATTATTATTATAAACGATCTGCAATGGTCCACTAAACAGATTCAATGGGCTAAACATTGTTAAACAGCCTCCTGTTCCAATGTTTCTAAGTGCATGAATGGTCTGGGTGACTCTAAAACATAATGGCAAATACTGGCACATTCCTCTGTTTGATTTAAATTGAATTAAATCAAATTTGGTCCATTAATGTCAACATTTTTTACTATTTGTTGGGAAATTCATCAGCTGAAACAATAATTCCAGTATTTACAATGACATTCAGAAGTCTCAACAGACACTCAAACCAGATGACATTGATACTCAAATGGTACCTGCCATTAATATGATTGCTCCAATCTTAATCACAGGACTGTTAATAAAAGCATTTGGAAATCAAACTACCATCAACACATAATCTATGTAGTCAACAGACAAGCATATTTTGAGCACATCTGGAGTGTGTTGTTGAATTAACCTCAGTAATTGCTTCATTTAGTTCACACATTATATGAACATTTGTTAACAACAACAACAGCTACTTGCAATGATATAGTGCCCTTCTTGTGAATAGTGTCTCAGATCGCTTAACAGTGGTGTGGTTAGACGGTGAGCTGGAAAGAGAGGGAATGACTGAAGGTACGGTCAAAGAGGAAAGTCTTGAGGTGTGATTTGAAGACGGGGAGAGAGGGGCAAAGCAAAGGGATTGAGGCAGGGAATTCCAGGGCTTCGAGGTATAGTAAAGCATGGCCGCCAATTGTGGAGCAGATGGGAGGAGGGATGTGGCAAAGCCATCTGAGCGAATGCAGTGGGGTGATGGCGTCTGGGGGGGAGCAGATTGGAGCGTTGAGTAAGCCCACAGAAATAAGTAGGATAAATTATTGGGACACTGCATAAACAAACAATGTTATATATTCTCTAAATGAAACAACAAAATAAAACGAGGTGAAATGTATTATTAGTTTAAGTTGGTACATTTTTAATTCAATTGAATTATTTGGAATTCAAATACAGTAATTATTTTTAAAATTCAAATGTAATGCATTCTTGTTGTTCTATTATATATTTTTTTCTATTTAACCAGATTGCCTGTCACCCAGACCAAAGTAAAAGATTTTTCATTTCCTTTTATTTACAAATCAATTTTACCTACTGCATTTGTTAGAAAAACTGAACAGGCAAAGGTCTTAACAAGTGGTCACACATGTAAACTACAAGAAGGCAGTTTAATGTAGCAATCCTCATTTCAAACAATTTACTCGTAGAGAAAAACAAACAGAAAGCAAAACTCAATAAATATAGTAAGTTGATAAAAAAAAGTTAAAGGAATTTCAGAGCAATTCTAGATTTTATGAAACATTACTTATCAAATAAGTTAGATTTCAACAGATTTTGAAACATATTTACCAATTAAGAGTTTGCGTTCAAAATACATGATTACAAGACTTCACAGTGTATCCTGTGAGACACTTTGAAACGTCTCCTGATTGTGAAAGCTGCTGTATCAAATGTAAGGGTTATTTGTATCAAACTGGTTTGATACAAAATTTACAACAACTCATCCTCTACTTTTCATCCTACCTGTAGCGTAGTTTCTATGTATGTAGGATGCTGGGTATGGATTGGCAGGTGACTCGCAAGGAGTTGTAGCGTTCACAGCTTGGTATGAGTGGGCAACCAGAAAAGTGGCAATGCCGTGGTGTATGATAGTTTAGGATTTGTCGGTGCACATATCGTCTCCGGGTTGGGCATCAACCAACCACTACTTGGAAAAATAACAAATAACAATAACATGGCACTGACATGACTATGGCTCATTGAGAAATGATAATATAATAGTAATCTTGCATTTGATATAGCGCCGTTTCACAGCTACAAGACGTCTGAAAACGCTTCACAGAATATACTGTAAAGTAAATTGACTGTATATTTTGTGGCGAAATGGGGCAGCCAATTGTGCACAGCAGTGTCCCACAAACAGTCGTGGATTGAGTGACCAATTTTTTTTAGTTTGTTTTTAAAAGGGATTATTACCCCCAGAAAGTGATCCAATCGACTAACAACAAGGTTCCTACTTACTGCTCGTTAAACAGAGGCGGTGTAGAGTAAGGAAACTTGCCTAAGGTTTTGCCCTTGCCAGGAACCAAACCCGGGTCGTCTGCTTGTGAGGCAAGCGCTCTAACCACTATGCTACAGGATGATGTCCTCTGAAAGCACTTCCATACCAAGAAAAAAAATCTTATGGTCAGCTTTCAGCCTGTCTACCCCCACTCTCTGGAACTCCATCCCGGAGTTCCTCCAACTTGTTCCTCCCTCACCTAATCAAGGTCCATCTCAAAACCTGTCTGTTTTGATTGCACTTTCAGTAATCTTTCCCCTCCCCAAAGAGCTCAGGTGCAAGCCAGGACTGTTAAGACTTTTGGGATATCCTCCAGATGTGAAAGGTCCTATATCAATGTAAATTTGTATGGTATTTTACGAGAAAGCTAAACCAAAAGCAGATGTGGGAATTATTTCCTACAAGTACTCGTTTCTACAATTTTTCTGCTATGTGATTTAGGTCAATGGCAACCTAGCAGATTTAGTTGGTTAAATTCCTGCAGTCCCCACACCCTGGCTCTTGCTAACCAGCATCTAATATTTTCAGGGGTTAGGTGAGCAGGGTATATCCCTCTAGGGAAGAGTGTGCACTCCAATCCAGCTAATGGAAATTTCAATTCATATCAAGAACTCTGAGTAGATGATTTAAGGTTAGACTCTTAAGCATAAAGATGTGTTTCCACATGCATCAGACAAAAAAACAAGTGGGCATAGAAGGACTGCAGTGGGATTGCTATGTCAAAGATATGTGGAGTCCTTCTCCAGGTTATATTCCCCTCCTAATCCAAACATACGTCTAAATGCTTGGCTACTCATTTCATTGCTGTTCTTGGAACATTGTTGGGGAAGATTAGCTGCTGAATTTGACTGGTTGAACAACAGTTACTTTATTTCTACTCAACTATATTTTTGAAGCGCTTTGAGGTAGTTATTTACAGGTGAAAGGTGCTATATAACTACAAATTATTATTATTATTTCATGACAACCAGTGGTCTTTTAAATGGTTGTGAGGTTCGTTGTGGATATGCACATCTCAGCTTGTCTTGTTTGATAATCTCAGGGTCACTTGTTTGCAGGGTAGTTTAGTGGCTGCTTGGTGAAAGTGCAATGTACAACAGATTCAATGTGGTAAGGACAAATCTCAGCACATATCTACCTGCAGAATTCATTTGTCAGCATCTTCCACTGCATAGCTGTGCGGAGAGGACAGCATATTAAACCACCATGTCACACTATTATAACAAGGACTGGTCACTGCAATTGACACCAACCTCTACATATCACTTATTTGTGCACAACAAAGTTAGCAACTTACTGTGGGAGTAATTCATGTGTTGATTTTCAGAAAAGTTATCAGAGGGATCCTTGCAGCTGGCTCTGTAAGAGTTCAGATGTAGACATAGGATTAAATTAGTATGTCAGCCTGGCTCAGTTGGTAGCACTCTCGCATTTGGAGTCAAATGTCGTGGGTTGAAGCCCCGCGTTGGATGTTGAACTCAAGTAGTCCAAGATGACATTACAGTACAGTGCAGGGGGGGCTGTATCGTTCGAGGTCCTGTCCTCCTGATAAAATGCTAAACCGAAGCCCTGTCTGCCACTCCAGATGAAAATTAAAAGATCCATGGAATTATTTGAAAAGAGAAGGGAGTTTATCCCAGTATCTGGCTAATGATCTCTCGCCCAAAATTGGTCATTTACTTCATGGCTGTGGACATAGCTGTGTGCAAGCCGGCTGTTTCATTCACCCACAAAACACACCAGACACCGCTCCGGAGTCCTGTAGCTCCGCAGTTAGAGCGCTCGCCTTGCAAGCGAGCAAACCTAGGTTCGATTCCCGGCAAGGCGAAACGTTGGGCAAGTTTCCTTACTCCACACTCTTCTGTTTACCTAACAATAAGTAGGAACCCGGTTGTTAGTCAATTGGCAGATCCTTTTCCAGAGGTAATAATTCCTTAAAAAAGTAAGAAATTGGTCACTCAATCTACGACTATTTATGGGACACTGCCGTGTGCAATTGACTGCTGCTTTTTGCCCACAAAATATAGTCAATTCACTCTACGGTATTTTCTGTGAAGCGCTTTGAAACATCTCAGAAGATGTAATAAGGCGCTATATGCAAGGATTATTATTATTATTATTATATGTGGAAACCCATCATTGGATAAGAGTATCCAAACCAAGCTGAGAATTCCATGCATCCCATCTACACTACGGAATCCCAGTGTTTGTGAAAGGTGCTATACAAATGTAATTTTGTAATTTTATTGTTGTACACAAATACACATTCACTCCATTGCACAGTAAATCCTGTTAAGTGCTTTGAACGTCCTTCTGATGCTATACCAAATGTAAGGATTATTAATTTAAATTGCTTGGAGTCCAGGTCTATGAAACGTTTCCCGTTCCTGCTGGACCTGACTAAATGGATCTTAACCTTTTCACTATAATAAAAAATAAAGCTTAAAATGGTTCTTGAAGCAAAGCAAACAATGAAGATAGAAAGCATCTTGTTCCAAAGCATTGACTCGCCTTTCTTTGGCATCCAGAAATGCTTTCGCAAAGGGGTTATTCTTGATCTTCAGAGCTGTAACCTTAAAAAGGACACACACAGAAAAGGCAAAAGGTGAGGCAAGCACTGTCTCCACTCTAAAATCAGCATTAGAAACTTACACAGGACTGTGCAGCTAAATTTTCAAGTTACATTTCTAAACTACATGATTAATTTTCAATTCGAAACTGCTAACTAACAATGATAGTCCCAGTCAATTTAAACAATTTTTTTCGATAAAAAAGCTTCAACAATTTGCCTCTTGTAGTTATTTTGTTTGATGATGACTGAAGATCGGGTTCTTGAGACCTCGGGATATGCCATGTGTCTCTCAGATGTACAAGACAAGGAATATCCCAGGTTTGACCCTGCTGTGTGCGGAACTAACAGAGCTTGGCCAAGTGATAGTAGGATTGTTATGAAAGGCATCAGTGATAAGAGTTACGAAAGGGATGATCAACCAAGCTGTGCCCTGGTTGCTACGCAGAGATCCCGATTGGAGATATGAAGACAGGATTAAGGATGGAGGTCAATGATAGCTATGGGTCTACCTGGCACAGTTGGTAGCACTCTTGCCTCTTGAGTCAGAAGGTTGTGGGTTCAATGCCCCATATCAGGACTTTGAACTCACATAATTCACTTGTAGGACATTGTTGTACGCAAACTGGCTACCGCGTTTCACCCACAAAACACACAGTCAATCAATTTTACAGTATATCCTGTAAAGCACTTTGAAATGTTTTAGAGACATGATAAAGCGCCATATCAAATGGAAGGATTATGATATTATTATTGATTATTATTATTATTTATTATTATAAATGACAGGAAAAGGGTTATGTGTCAACAATGATGTTCTTGTGTGATACTGACCTCCTCATTCTGATATGCAGTCACTGCGATGAACTGAGTTTCAGGGAAAAAGTGATTGGAAATCATCCTGTGAGGACCTCCCAGTCGCACTATATAAATCTGAGGCTCGTACTTGTGCAGAGAATTTAGAATTACCTGTGTGAAAAAAAGGAAGACAAAGTGTAAGTTAACAATCCTGACTTTACTTACAGGATTTTTACCCACGTAGAATACTTTTAATTGTTGTATCCTTCTGGACACTGCTTAATGCTGTGAACGAGTGACAAGTGGAAAAATACCTGGATTTACACTTACTCTAATGACAAATACATGCTACAATTCACAATAAAATCATGTGAAGCTCTTTCAGAGGTCCTGATGATATTAAGTGGTGCTGTGTGTATATTAAAATATATACTGTCAATTCACGTTGCAGTATATTCTGTGAAGCTCTTTGAGATGTCTCAATAACATGATCATAATGATGATAATGATAATAATCCTTGCATTTGATATAGCACCTTATCACATTGTTGCGACATCTCAAAGTACTTCACAGAATAAGGTGCTCTATCAAGTGCAAGGATTATTATATTATATTAAACACAAGGATTAATATAATTTATTGCTAAATTAAAGTAGGATTTTGTTGGTTTGTTGCTTAAAAGCCTAAAGAAAATCAGCATCAAAGCTGAGTCTGAATTCAATAATTTGAATTTGGTGCATTCGGAATACTCTGAAACACTGTGTTAATAGAGTAAATGTAGACCCAAATGAGATGTTATACTTTCTATTCCTTAGCACAGACATCCCACAAACAATATAAGAGAACAGAAAAATAGGAAGCTATGAAGGATTTGACAACTCTATACATTTGTATAACACAAAACAATACAAATTTACATTTGTACAGCACTTTTTTACATCAGGAGGGAGGATGTTCCAAAGCATTATTTATATATATATTATATATATGTGTGTATAACTGCTATGCGGAATTTGCTGCTGTGTTGCACCCACAAAATACACAGTCAATTCACGTTACAGTATATTCTGTGAAGCGCTTCGAGGCATCTCAGTGATGTGATAAGACTCTATAACAAATGTAAGGATTATTATTATATATATATATATATATATATGTGTATTAATTGCTATCAACATATCTATTACTGTAGCTTTCGACTACCAGGATGCAAGAACGTGGTCGAGATGGACCTTGGTCTTTTTTTTGGTCCAGCAGTCCTATGTTCCTGTGCATAAAGGCAACTTATCGAAATGAAAGAAGGGAAATGAAAGGGAAATGCAGTGCACGATTTTGTTTCAAATCTGAAAATTGTTGTATTCCATTAATTCGGGATAAGTGCCCTTTGCCAGCTGCTAATTATTTTTACAGCAGTTAAGACCTCCAACTTTGTATTAGAATTAAGTGGGGCAGAGTCATCCCATAATAAATGTATTCCAGACTTTCAAGTTGGTTTTGTTGTGTGTGTGTGTGTGTGTGGGTGGTGGGGGTGGTGGGTGGGGGGGGAGAGGTGTCTAAAAGGGATAAGCCGTTAATTTCATGTGATGATTGATAATTGCAAAACAACTCTAATTATCTAATTGCATGTAAAGCACTCACTTTTGTTTAAGGCAATTTCAGGAGGCAACTGACAGCTCTGTGCCAAGGAAAACATCAATGACTAAAACTCATTACAAAGCGGGGTTTTTTTTTAAAAAAAAACATAACCCTGGAGTCGTACACACAGCGAGATCTCTCAGCCCACAAAACAAAACAAAAAAAACCTTTTTTTTTTTGGGTAGTGGGGGGGGTGGGGGTTGTTTGCTGAGTACAACGCGATGTCCATTAAACTCTGAAAGTCTCAATTAGACCTGTGTGTGGGGTTTTTTTTTTTTTTTAATTCTTGTTTGCGTTTGGTTTCCCATCCAACAATAGGGGCGACATGAGCAGAGTGGGGCTGAGAGAGGGATAACTATAATTACATTAATGCGCCCTTTTTTTTTGGTGTGTTCGTAATTGCACTTGGCTTGTCGTTGCAAACCAGAGGGAGTTTGCAGCAGCAGCAGCAGCGACTTGCCTTACCTGTCCACCGCAGTTGACTTTATTGGTCAACTTGACTTTGCTGAAAGAGATGGGGGCTTTCATCCAATACGCCCCGAAGTTGGGGGAGTCCGGGTGGATGTAAACGCAGCTCTGGGTCAGGGGCTCTGGTTTGCCCGCAGGTACCCACTCGCCGTTCACATACTTCCAGCGATGGCTATCAGCGACCACGAAGTCCAACAGGAATGAGTACATGGCGTTTGGATCCAAACCAGAGACGCTTATTTTAAGGACTGGAAACATTCGCCTGAAAGAGGGAGAGGGGGAGAGAGAGAAGGGGGGAGAGAGAGAGAGAGGGGGAGAGGGAGGGGAGAGAGAGAGAGAGAGAGGAGAGAGGAGAAAGAAGAAAGAAGAGAAGAAGAAAGAAAGAAGAAAGAAAGAAAGAAAGAAAGAAAGAAAGAAAGAAAGAAAGAAAGAAAGAAAGAAAGAAAGAAAGAAAGAAAGAAAGAAAGAAAGAAAGAAAGAAAGAAAGAAAGAAAGAAAGAAAGAAAGAAAGAAAGAAAGAAAGAAGAAAGAAAGAAAGAAAGAAAAGAAAGAAAGAAAGAAAGAAAAAGAAAGAAAGAAAGAAAGAAAGAAAGAAAGAAAGAAAGAAAGAGAGAGAGAGAGAGAAAGAGAGAGAAAGAAAGAGAGAGAGAGAGAGAGAGAGATGGAAAGAGAGACAGAGAGAAAGCAGATACAGATAGAGATAGAGAGAGAAAGAGAGAGAGAGAAGAGAGATAGAAAGAGAGACAGAGAGAAAGCAGATAACAGAGAGAGAAAGAGAGAGAGAGAGAGAGAAAGAGAGAGAGAAGGTTAAAAAACAAACCTTTCTTTGGGGAAACACATAACGATCATTTCACTGAAAAACACGAAAAAAAGCACCTGTGTTTTTTTTCCCCTCTCAATAGAAGAGAGCGACTCTGACTCTGGCTCTGACTCTCGGGGTTTTTCCTGTGTAATTCCAACCTTCGGAGCAACGCCGTTTAGGGCAGGAAAGGGGAGTGGGGGAGAGTTCCGTGGGAACCGTTCAGCAATGGGATCAGAAGTCCCCATCCAGTGCAAACGAGGGCAGAAAAAGAGCGACCAGGTTTGAGACAGAAATGTTTTGGGGGCATTTAATCCGCAAAGCGACCTGTGTTTCTGCTCAGATATTCCACAACCAGGCTACGAATTATTATTATTATTATTATTAATTATTATTTTATTATAGCATGAATTATCATCCAGGATTATTGCTATTATATTATTACATAATATTACATAATAGCAATAATCCTCGATGATAATTCATACTATAATAAAATAATAATAATAATATAAATTATTATTATAGTATCTAATATAGTATTATATTATTACGAATACAGCCAGCGACTGGGCTGCACCTCTCCCATCCTGTTAGCGTCAGAGTGGATTATTTGGTCAATTTGAAATAAATATCTCTCGCATAAACGAAGCATTTCTCTGTGCCAAAGGAGAGGCCGATGAAAGGACAAGAGATTCAATCACCCCCAGGAGGGGAGAAGGTTGGAGGAGAAACCAACACACTGTAGCCTCCGCTTATTATAATTATAATCATTATATAACTATTATCGTTATCATTGTTACTATCACTCATCACTGCACCCACGTCATTATTAAGCAGTCATAAATATTATATTCACCGCTATTAGTCGCCGTCGTTCACCATCATCATAACAAAGAAGATTAGCAGAAAACATAAGAGGAGGTTAACCAAAAAAAAATTTTTTTCACGCAAAAGGGTTGTTCAGGAAGCCCAAATGCTTTTTTTTGACTACGAGTTGACGCCCAGACGGTCACATCTTTGAAAGGGAATCAAATAAAGACTTGGATGAATGAAGACATGAATTTGGGAGGAGAGTGCAAAGGGAGGGTTGGAATTAGAGAAGACAGCTCCAGTGGGCAGCTACTGTATGCTAATAATAATAATAATAATAATAACAATAATAATAATAATAATCCTTGCATTTGATATAGCGCTGTTCACGTCGGGCGGACGTCCCAAAGCGCTTCACAGAACGCACTGTAAAGTGAATGACTGTATATTTGTGGGCGAAACGCAGCGGCCAATTGCGCACAGCAATGTCCCACAGACAGTCGTGGATTGAAAATGACCAATTTATTATTGTTTTGGGGGTTTCGGAGGGATCAGTACGATCGCTTCGGAGCCCAATTTTGGGGATGGCGTCAGATCAGCCCCTGATCTGGAACACAGCGCTATCCCTTTCCTGCTATCCTGGAAATGGGATGCAAGTCCTCTTCCCTCTCTCTTTTGGCTCTCACATGGCGTTGGGCGACTTCTTCCAAGTTCCTCCTTGCAAACTCCACAGCGGAAAATCGACAGTGTCAGAGGGGCAACAGCAACAACAGCAACAACAACAACAACAACAACAAATATCACACAGGGAAATCACACCGAGGTGAGCTCTCTCTCTCTCTCTCTCTCTCTCTGAGGGTTCCCTAAGGGCAGTGTATTGGGGAAAAGCCTACAGGGAAGCTCGTCTGCTCATCCCCTGGTTCGCTCTGCTCGGTTTGGGGGGAAACGCTGGGCTCAAGTGCAGAAGAATATTTTTTATATTCTCCGAGCACCGACACATATGCCCACCACCCCCCCCCCCCCAAAAAAAACGATGACTTTTAATAGAGACCCTCCACCACCACCCAAAGCATTATTTCTCTTACTCCTGCAAAACCCAAGCCATAAAACTTGGAACAAGGTATTATTTGTGGAGTCCTGTAGCTCAGTGGTTAGAGCACTCGCTTTGCAAGTGAGAGACCTGAGTTCAATTCCAGGCAGAGGGCGAAACCTTGGGCAAGTTTCCTTATCCACACAGAGCCTAATAATAAACCCTCCAAAAACCAAAAACAATAATAAATTGGTCATTTTCAATCTACGACTGTTTGTGGGACATTGCTGTGCGCAATTGGCTGCCGCGTTCGCCACAAATATACAGTCAATTCACTTTCAGTGTGTTCTGTGAAGCGCTTTGGGACGTCCTCCCGACGTGAAAAGCGCTATATCAAATGCAAGGATTATTATTATTATTAGTATCATTATTATTTTGGGGGGGCAAAACGCCTGCCGATTTTTCAACAGGACCGTTTTTATCGCGGAGTCTCCCAGTTGCGGTTCTGTTCGTTTGTCCCAAAGGCGTAAAAAAATGTTAGCTTTTTTTTTAAAAAAAAAGAAATTTAGCGAATATTAAGAGGCTTACGCCGATTGACATTACATTACATATTATATTATATTATATTTCAGGTTGTTGAGAATAAACAATTGATTTTTATTGATTTTTTTTTGCTTGAGGTCATTGCTTCGATCTGTATCACTCTTAAAATTGAACACGGAATCCGTCGGTTTTAAACGGATTTTGCAGTCGGTGTCGCTCCAATGAATTTAAGTCACAACACACTTGACGTTCGCCGTTGATCGACAGTGATGTATGTGGTGGTTCAGAGTACGTTGGTTTGCAGAGGAAGGGTTCGGCATAACCCCTATTGCACACTCACTGACCTCAATATAAAAAAAAAACAACCTTGGATCACCGCACAGGTGACACGCGACGTCCTTCTGGTAAAATAGATCGTGTTGCAAAGCGGCCCCTTTTCGTCTTGTTTTCGTACTGCGCGTAATAAACGCGCTGCAGATTCATCCCCCACCGTGAAATATCGTTGCGATTTTCCAGATGGGATAACGCGTGCAGGATTTTTCCTTTGCTGAGCTGCAATTCGGTGTGTGTGTTTGGCGTGTGTGTGATTTGCATGTGTGTGTGTGATGCTTGTGTTTGTGTGTGTGTGTGATGGCTGTGTGTGTGTGTATGTGTGGTGTGTGTGTGTGATTGCGTGTGGTGTGGTGTATGTGTGGTGGTTGTGATTGCATGTGTGTGTATGTATGTGTGTGTGGTGGTGTGTGTATTGGTGGTGGTGTGTGGTGTGTGGTGGTGTGTGGTTGCTGTCAAATTGAATTAACACAATTCCAGTTTGCATCCCCCAGCACGCCAGGGATTTACAAACCTGCACCAAAATACCTGGACCAATGTCTCCAGAACTGGGATCTGTAAGTAATGCTATCGTTATTAGTTGTTATTGTTATTATTATTATTATTATTATTATTATATTATTATCCTGGCGTTCTCATAACGCTAATCTCATCAATCCCGACTGATCAAGGGGCGTTTATAGGGAAAACTGTACAAGGAGGAAGAGGGCACTGGGGAGCAAGAGAGGAGACTGGAGAATGGGAAACTAACTGTACGCCTGTCATCGGAAAGTGTGAATATTGCACTGTGATTTTTTTTAAAAAAAACACGTGTGAGACCTCCACGATCAAATACAATGACTATAACTGGTTAAAAGGTCCCACCGTTGAATTTTCTCACACCACACACACACACACACACACAACACACATAGAAACAAGACACAACCAAACAGGATTGCACAAAGCAAAGTTTGCTGAAAGATTAGGAACTGGGGAAGGGAGAGAGAGATAGAGAGAGAGAGGTGGGGGTGGGGGGGTTGTGGGGTGGGGGGGGGGGATGGAGAGGGAGAGATGCAATTGCAACGATATGACTAAAATTAGCGAATGTGACCAGCGTTTGGCTGTGAACTCGGTGCCTTACGTGAAACGTACTTGAATGCTCAAAGCATTTCTCAGCGAAGACCTTATTTTGGTTTTTTTTTTACAAAAAACACACACTCTCCCCCCCCCCCCCCCCACCCCTTGCTCGATTCCCACCGAAAACACCCGACTGGAGCGAAAATGAAAAATAAAGTACTGAAATCTCCCCGATGGGTCGCTTGCACCCCCCAACCCCCCACTGCTTTGCAAAAGATGGGAAAACAAAACGGCCTCACTCGTTGATTTACTTATCTATTATTATTATTATTATTATTATTATTATTGATTGATTGATTGATTTTTTTTTCTTGGCTCGAGGTCTTACTTTGTTGGACCCGCATCTCTGCATTGAAACTGACACACACATCCCAAAGCCTTCACAAAGAAGTTGCACTCTCCAGTGATCACTTCACGGCAACATCTCTCGACCAGAGGATGGGTTGACATTCAACAAGTCATCGTCCAGGACCGCGGACCTATTCTTTTGCACATTATTTATCTGTGATTCACAGAATCCCCATCAATGACTAAGTGATCCATTGACTTGATCTTCTTTGGCGTTATATTTCCCAGCTTTTCCGAAGCAGTGGGGGGTGGGTGGGGGATGGGGTGGTGTGGGGTGGTGTGGGATGGGGGGGGGGGGGTTGGGATGCAAAAAAGCAATCACTAGGAACATCGCAGACAGCTCTTGAAAGAAGTTGCATTGGTTCTCATCTCAGTCTCTCTCTCTCTCTTACCCCACAACCCAACCCCAAACCCCCAACCACTTCGGGCTACAAAACGGACCCCCCCCACCCCCACCCCCACCTCCCTTCCCTCCCCCCCTCCTCCCCTTCTCCACTGACCTCCCGTTCTTGGTGACGATCATTTCGTTGGTGACCCGCTTGAATTTTTGCCACAGCTCCGACTCCTCCAGAGCCACTTTCAGCTGCTTTTCCGTGGGGTCGCCTTTCTCGCTGCCGACCACCAGCTCACTCTCCACGGCGCTCAACAGGCGAGCCACCCGGTGCTCGCTGCTCCTGCTGTGAGGCTGGGTCATGACTTGAGACACTTTGCCCCTCTCTTCTCTCTCTCTCTCTCTCTTCTCTCTCTCTCTTCCCACCCCCTCCCAACCAAAAGCACCCCCTCCCCACTCCCCTCCACTCCCAGCTAAAACACTGTCCCCTTTCCCTCCCCCTTCCCCTACCTCCCACCACCCCCACCCCCCAAAAAAAAACAACTGAAACACTTTGCCACCTCTTCTCCTGCACCACCACCACTCACCCCTCCAAATTCCACCCCCCCCCCCTACCCCCACCCTCCCTCCAGCTGAAGCACTTTCCCCTTCCCTCCCCTCCAAAAAAACAGCTGAAATACTTTCCTTTCTCTCTCCCCCCCCCAAAAAAAAACAGCTGAAATACTTTCCCCTCCCCTCCCCCGAAAAAAAAACCAACTGAAACTTTCTCCTTGCCTCCCTCTCCAAAAAAAAGCAGCTGAAACCCCCCTCCCTCCCCTCAAACACACACACACACACACACACACACAATCACCTACAGTAAACAACCCAATCAACCTGTATGTGCATACATGTGTATGTGTGCATATATGTATGTGTGTGTATGTGTGCATATATGTATGTATGTATGTATGTGTGTGTGTGTGTGTGTGCATATATGTATGTATAATGTATGTGTGTGTGTGTGTGTGTGTGTGTGTGTGTGTATGTATGTGTGTTGCAAAGCTTAAAGCCAAGCCTTGAACGAACGAAAATTCAAACGAGAAGCAAAGTCGGGCAAAGCACACCCTCGCAGTCAGTCCCTTGCTTGTTCATTGACTGTGAATATTCCAAATAATGAGTGGCCCCAGCCATTGCAGGACTAAAAATAAACTTGACTCTAATTGCTTTTTCGCCATGTGATCCTGTGTGATGACGTTCAGCCGAATCGCCATTGGTTTTCTTCTCTGCCAGCTATTGGATGGAGCGCAATTTTTTTCCATTCAACTATTTTTTAATGCACAGTGTAGAGGGCAGCCAGGGCTTTGCTAAAATGTAGTATACAACAACGACAACAACAAACAAACAAACCAAAAATTACATTTGCGTGGCGTCTTTCACGTCGAGAGGACGTCCCAACGCACCGGACAGTCGGTGTTTCCGACCCGAGCTGGGGTTTGATATTGGGGAGGGTGGAGGCCGGGGGAGGATGGGGGGGAAACAGAGTGATCGAAAGCACGGTGGAAGAGGAGGGTTTTGAGATGGGTCTTGAAGGAGGCAAGGGAGGGGGCGAGACGCTGGACGGCGGATGGAGTTCCAGAGGGTGGGGGTAGGGTGGCAGAAGGCCCGGCCACCAATGGCGGGGTGGGTGTGGCGGGGGACGTGAAGCAGGCTGGAGTCCGCTGAGTGGAGGGAGCTGGCAGGATGATAGGGGGGAATAAAACCATGGAGGGCTTTGAAGGTGAGGACCAGGATCTTGAACTGTATCTTCTGTGTGATGGGAAGCCAGTGGAGTCAGGCGAAGATGGGGGTGATAGGGTCGCAGAGCCTGATGTGGGAGAGGATACAGGCTGCAGAGTTCTGGATGATCTGTAGCCTGTGGAGGGAGGAGGAGGCCGACAAGCAAGGAGCTTGCATAGTCAAGACTCAATGTAATGAAAGCGTATATGAGGGTTTCGGCGGCCTGTGGTGTGAAACAATGGCGGAGCTGGGTGATGTTGCGGAGGTGGGAAGGCAGAGTGGGTCATGGCACAGATGTGGGGGAGAAAGGATAGCTGAGGGTCAAACAAGACACCAAGGTTCTGCACTGGCTTAGCAAGGTGGAGTGTGCAACCATGGATGGTGATGGTGTCAGTGCCTGAGGTGTGGAGGCGCTAACAGGAGCCAAGCAGGAGTGCCTCGGCCGGTGATGTTCAACTGAAGAAAGTTAGCTCTCATACAGGACTTTGATATATTCTGTTAGGACAGCAATGGTCCTGTCAAGGGTGGAGGTAGAGAGGTACAGTTGGAAGTTGCCCCATGTCTGCGGATAATGTCACCAAGAGGGAGCGTGTAATGTTGAAGAGGGGACCAAGGACAGACCCCTGAGGAATGCCGCACAAGACGGTGCGGGGGTTAGAGGAGAAGCCATTTGTGGAAATGAAGCGGACGCAGTGTGAGAGGTACGTTTTGAATCAGTCAAGGACAGAGCCATGAAGGTTGAGGTGAGAGGAGAGGCGGTGGATGAGGATAGAGTGGTCAACTGTGTCAAAGGCAGCAGAGAGGTCAAGGAGGACGAGGAGGCAGAGGGAGCCCTGGTCGCAGCTGGACAGAAACCCGATTGGAGGAGTTTGTGAAGGGAATGGCGGGAGGAGGGAGTGAAGCTGGGAAGCAACAACTTGTTCCGGGACCTTGGAGAGGAAAGGGAGGTTGGAGATGGGACAGTAGTTTGAAAGCAATGATGGGTCCAGGGAGGGTTTTTTGAGATAGGATTGATGACAGCCGTTTTTAATGGTTTAATGGTATACTTTTTAATGGCATAGTTATTATAATGTACTGAACTCTCCTTTTGTCAGCTGTTTCTCCCCGAGAAGTGAGGTGCAACTTTTCTCGTGATCTGTCAGGTCTTGTGGTGAAACCAGATGAATTTGAAAGGTGAAATTATTCACAAAGATAATGACTTTGCTTTCATAAGGAAACCAGCGTGAGTTGAACTGAGCTGGCTGAAATATATCTGATTACTTTAAATTGTTCCGCAACTTTGGTTAAAAGAACCTACAATGTCTTTCGTTTCATCCACTTTTAGAGGATTTCAGCTATGGTACTGTATATATATTTAGATATTCACAGTCGTGTAGGTACTCGAATACATGACACCTTACAATAAAAAATTGTTATAGTGCCTTTCATGTCATGAAGATGTCTCCAAGTGCTTCACAGGAATGCAAAGTAGTGACTGTGTATTTTGCAGGCAATTTCAGCAGCCGATTTGCCTACAGTAATGTCCCACAAACTGCCAAGAAGTGGATGAGCATTTTTTTGGGGGATTGTTGGGTCAGAACACAGGAAGAAACCCCCTTCTCATTTCGAGTAGTACCAAGGGATCTTTAATATCCGCCTGAATATGCATGTCAGTTTAATGTCTCATACAAAGGACAGTACCTCGAACAATATAGGGACCCCAGCGCTACGTTGAAATGTCACCAGGGATTCTATGGGCTCAAAGTCAAGGTGTTGGTCTTATACCTACAAACTTCTGATCAGAGAACACAGCATACCAACTTGTTCACTTACACACACCACACATACATATATATATCATATATATATATAATTGTTTTTTCAGCTAACCAATTAGAGAAGGCAAATGAGTAGCTTCACATTGATACGATTACATCACTGAATACTCATTTGGTTCGTGTGTAGCAAAGCTTTATTATTCTGTATTTTCTAGATCCATAGCAAGTTAAAGAAACTTCAGGGTAAAGGACTTCGGAAACCAATCAGAAACTATTTAATTGCAAAAAACTACTGAAGCAGCTTCAGCCATTTTAACCATTGGAGGAAACAATTTGCTCCAATGTTGTCAACCCCTTCCTTATCTCCAGCCAACAAATTTACAGTGTCCGGTCGATTCACATTAGGGCAAACAGCTTGCAAAGTACCCAAAATATCACTAATCTGGAATTATTCACGGGACAGACATTTGCATCAAATTATGAGTTCCCAATTTGTCGATCAAAACAATTTTGTGACAAAATTGTCAGTCGTTCATCGGGAGAAGGAAAAATGTGAAAAATGAACTTCTGTTTAGCCCACAAACATACAATCAATTCACTTTACAGTATATTTTGTGAAGCGCTTTGAGACATCTAGAAGACATGATAAGCGCTATATCAAATGCAAGGATTATTTATTATTAAGATGACTATACTGAGAGTTTTAACTACAAATATATGTAACATAATATAACCTTGTTAACCATGATTAGTTTCATTTTTGAAGAGTGCAAAGAGTGCTGGCAAGAGGCATTGTTTTAAATTAAGAAGTCATATTTATCTATCAAATTATTTTAACCTGATATTGGCATTTGAAGGTGCATGTGTACCTTCAAATAAGCTTTTAATTTTCTGCCACATGGCCAATAAAAGTGCACCTGGCCTTTTCTTTTTAAAAGTTAATTTCCTCATGGGTCATTTTATCTTCCTCTCTCATCCTGTATACAATAGCGATATCTCGTATTAATAGTTCCGTATTAAAGGGAGGGAGGATGAGAAATGACACAATGCCCCAAGGAAGTTAGATTGTGTGGAGGAAAAGCTTATGTAAAGAAACTCTAGAAAATAGTCATGTAACTTGAAGAGATTTAAAAAAACACACAAGTTCAAATATTGCCCCAGAATAAATCAGGGATTTGCTCGAGTGGTAGCACTTTGTTCATCTACTTAACATAGACCAAACCAAAGGCCACATCTTGGGGTTCTGGAAAATCCCATCTCAAACACTAATGAAATATTCCCAAACTATTTTTTCTGTTCACTTTTCAGATCACCGTGCAAAACTTATATCTAACTCACCGAATAGAGTAAACAAAGTATTTACATTGGAGATGCATTTTTAGGTTTTCAGCCAGACCTTGGACAAAGGGTGGTGATTCATTCACACTCCCATATTGAACCGAGTTATGTTTACACTTACATGTATTTGGGATAATTTCTGAAAAACATTTAATATTTTCTTGATTGAATGATGGGGTATGCTGCCCTTTTCAATTAAATCCAATCAGAGCAAGGTCCTATACAAATAATAATAATAATAATCCTTGCATTTGATATAGCGCTTTTCACGTCGGGAGGATGTCCCAAAGCGCTTCACAGAACATACTGCAAAGTGAATTGACTGTATATTTATGGGCGAACGCGGCAGCAATTGCGCACAGCAATGTCCACAAACAGTCGTAGATTGAAAATGACCAATTTATTATTGTTTTTGGTTTTTGAAGGGATTATTATTAGGCTCTGTGTGGAGTAAGAAAACTTGCCCAAGGTTTCGCCTGACCTGCCTGGAATAGAACTCAGGTCTCTCAC